AGGGACCTTAAAATCATCTCATTCCAACCCCTGCCATGGGCAGAGACACCTTCCACTAGCCCAGGCTGCTCAAAAGCCACATCCAAACTGGCCTATACACACAGAGAAGTATGTCTGTTGCAAAAAGTACCTTAACACTCAGGCATTGATTTTATTCTTGAAGAGAGTGGCTTTGAAAGTTTTCACACTATCATGCACCTACTGTTTGCTCTGCAGGTTAAACAGCAGCAGCTGTGGGACAGGAAAGGGCAGGGGTTGCCTCCTCTCCTCAGCTGCAGATTCAGCTCCTGAATTCAGTAACCTGATGCCTTCTGCTAAAACACAACAGCAGCTCTTTGCACCTTTGCATTTCAGGATGTGTAAAGAGGAAAAACTGTACTGCAAACCACTTACTCTCCAGTTTTAGGGTCTCCATCATGACTTTGGTGGGGTACAGTCCACGTGGATGCTAACACTTGCACTTTACTTGCACCATCCTGTGGTATCTGACTTCTTGGGGTAGTGCTGGGGGGACCACAAACCTCCCAGGACATGGCTGAGCACATGGACCTTAGAGACCATCCAGCCCCAACCCCTGCCCTGGGCAGGGACACCTCCCACCAGAGCAGGTTGCTCAAGGCTCAGCCAACCTGGCTGTGAACACTGCCAGGGTTGGGGCAACCACAGCCTCCCTGGGCAACCTGGGACAGTGTCTCACCACCCTCACAAGGAAAACTTCTGCCTAAGATCTATCCTAAATTTCCCCTCCTTCAATTTGTGCCCATTGCTCCTTGTCCTGTCCCTGCAGTTCCTAACACAGATCCCTCTGCAGCTTCCCTGGAGCCCCTTCAGCTCCTGGAAGGTGCTCTGAGGTCTCCACACAACCTTCTCTTCTCCAGACTGCATTTTCTCAGCCTGTCTCCATAGGGGAGGTGCATGAGGACATGGAGGAGAAAGTTATTTCCCACTGAAGTGCACAGCAGTAGAAGGAGCTGGAAGTAAAATGTCCTTAGAGTATTCAAAAGGTGTGTAATGTTTTGGGGGTTCACTGAGGGCAGAGGCTGTTTTCCCATGGTCAGGACTTTTGTTCAGACTGATGGCCCCAGTGATTCCATCAGAGATTTCTCCTCCCCATTGAAAAAGACAGAGAAACACAATCAAACTCTCCTGGTCTCACTGCCTGCTTGGCAAGGAGTGGTTTCCACCACAGAATTCCAGCACACTGGGCACAGAAGGGACAGCCTCTCAGACCTGAAGGGAGCCCACAAGAAAGATGAAGAGAAGCTTTCTATAAGGGCATGTAGTGACAGGACAGGGAGGAATGGCTGCAGACTGAAAGAGAGGAGGTTCAGATTGGATATTAGGAAGAAATTCTTCCCTGTGAGGGTGGTGAGACACTAGCCCAGGTTGCCCAGGGAGGCTGTGGCTGCTCCAGCCCTGGCAGTGTTCAAACCATGCCCTGAGCAGCGTGATCTAGCAAAAGGTGTCCCTGCAGAGGGTCTGGAACTATTTGACCTTTAAGGTCCCTTCCAACTCATGCCATTCTATGACTCTATAATTGGGTTTTTTCCACCGATTTCCCACTTTGCTACAGACAAGCAGGAGCCAAGGAGAAGCCCTGCAGCCAGCTGGGACACTCAGCTCAGCACGGGAAGCCCAGGACGTTTGGCTGCACTGTCATAAAGGCTGGACAGAGAGGTGCTCTACAGACCACAAGGGTATCTGTTTCTCCCAGCAAAGCCAGGAAAATAAGGGAGTTGACCAAGTGCAGCCTGTATGCCATGTCTTGCCCCAGGTCCAGCTGCCCCAGCCAGGCCCAGCACTGCTGCCTCCCATCACTTCAGCCACACCACCTACTTATTAAAAATAGCTTTTTTTCTTCTTGGAAAGGACAAAAAATAAACAAGAAACCTTTCTTTTAAGATGATGCAAACTCATGTTTTCACAACCCCAAATGTGACCAAAAATACTTGCTTTAAAGCCCAGTGCTGATTCCTGGGTAAATCACTGTGCTCAGCTCTAGAGGCCACCCCCAGCACACAAAAAAATGCCACGTGGGTGGGTAAGAAAGGCATACATTGATGTGGGCAGTTTTTAGCCTTGCCTAACCCAATGTGCAAAGTGACTCTCACAGCTCCATCACATCATCATCCTGAAACTGAGTGCAGGAACAGCTCCAGTGGTGGCAGAGGCTGTGCCTGACCATCTCAGCAGATTTCCTGCCTACCCAGCAGCAGGAGCAGGAGCAGACCCCTCTGTGATCACAGTGCACAGGCACATGCCACAAACACCAAACCAGGTACTGCTGAAAATGTGTTAAAATCCTCAAAGTGAGAATCTGGGGCACAAATTGAAAGAGGGAAAGTTTAGGTTATATCTCAGGCAGAGGTTTTCCCTGTGAGGGTGGTCAGACCCTGGCCCAGGCTGCCCAGGGAGGCTGTGGCTGCCCCAACCCTGGCAGTGTTCACAGCCAGGTTGGATGAGCCTTGAGCAACCTGCTCTGGTGGGAGGTGTCCCTGCCCAGGGCAGGGGTTGGGGCTGGATCATCTCTAAGCTCCATTCCAACCCCTAAAATGCTATGACTCTATGGACAGAGGGTCATTTGCAAGCTGCAAGAAGCAATTTCACCCACCCTTGCAAGGCCTTGCCCATCGTGCTCACAGACTGGGCTCATTGCAGAGCTATGTGGCACTCCTCGATTTCCTGGAGGGAAAAAAACTCTCAGTCCCTATTCTCACCAGTTGTCCTCACAGAGCCATCACCTCTGACAGCCCCAGGAATGTGACCCAGCCCTGTGGCAGAGCCAGCACCCAGAGCATGTGCTGGGCAGCAGCACCACTTGCTGGACACGGGAGAGCTCACAGCAGCTCCTTACCCTGCTCTGCAGCAAATATGGCATTACCACAACTTCAAACCAAAAGAGAGCTGTCACCCAGTCCTTTGTGCATCTCTGGGCTTCAGCCAAACCCATGCTTGCTTGCTTTCACCCCCACACCAGCATGGAATACTGCACACAGTTCTGGTGCCCTCAACATAAGAAGGACATGGAACTGTTGGAGCAAGTCCAGAGGAGGCCACCAAGTTGCTCAGAGCACTGGAGCATCTTGTCTGTGTTAGGAGCTGCAGGGACAGGACAAGGGGCAATGGGCACAAATTGAAAGGGGGAAATTTAGGTGAGATCTTAGACAGAAGTTTTCCCTGTGAGGGTGGTGAGACCCTGGCCCAGGTTGCCCAGGGAGGCTGTGGCTGCCCCAACCCTGGGCCAGGTTCGCTGAGCCTTGAGCAACCTGCTCTGGTGGGAGGTGTCCCTGTCCAGGGCAGGGGTTGGGGCTGGGTGATCTCTAAGACCCTTTCCAACCCCTCAACATTCTATGATTCTATGATTTTGGTACCCATGCCCCTGACAGGTATCACCACCATCACAACATCCCCAACTACTCACACAAGTGATGCGAGGGGTCCAAACAATAAGAGGCATGGCCAAGGTGTTCACTGTGAAGTCAGGACCAGTGAGGCAGGGTCAGGCAAGAGGCTCATTCCCAAGGCAGCAGCCTGGGGAAGCTGCAAGTTTCAAAGCTGGTCTCGTATTAAAACACAAGTTCCACTAAACCCAGGAGCTGTTCAGTCCTAGCCTTCATAGCAGTGGGAAGAGGCTTCAAATTAAGTGTTGTTTGGCTCTAAGTAGTGGAAGTGATTTCATTTCTTTGCTGCTGCTTGAGTTGAATATTGCAGTGCTCAGCAGTGACACCCCTGGGCCTGGGCAGTGGAAGGACGTGCACCCACTCACTCTGGGCTGGTGGGGCCTGTGCCCTGCAGAGCCACAGCTCCATGCTCTAAAACTACTGCAGCCTGCAGCTTTACCCGCCAGCACTGATACCCACAGTGTGAAGCTCATCACACACACAGGGACCTGGAAGAAGGACCTGGGCAGGATGTTAAATAAAGAATGTGTTGTTTATTTGCTTGCTGGTAGGAGAAAAAAAAAAAAAAAGAAAGGCACATGGAGTGAAAGAGGCTGTGTGACAACACCTTTTCCCTGCTCACCTGTGTGTCTATTGCAAGAAACCTGGTTCCAGAGGCCACCATGGGCACCCAGAGCCCTGGAACATCTCCTTCTCAACACCTCAGGGAGAGCAGCACAACCCTTGCACACCTTGCAGCAGGTGATGGCCATAACACAGCAAAGCCCAAGGCCCAACCAGTTGGAGTCATTGACCAGATTTTCCATCCCACTGTGGGGTCACTTACGGGCAGGGGTGGCCTTTGGGGAGCCTGGAAATATTGGGGGGTGGGAACATCCTCAGCCTTAGCTTTCCCTCTCAGCCCAGCATGCTGCAAACAGCCCGTCCTTTGATCCCTGTGCCCTCTAGTCTGACCTCAAATTGCAGCCCCCAGGAGAGACCACCTCAAACCACACTACTGTGGAGTTTGATGGTTTTTAATGGTGATTAGAGAAATCAACAGGGTACATTTCAGCTTTGAAACAGAAGTGCAAAAGAGAATACAATGTCCTGTTCTCTGTACATTTCTTTACAAAATATTACATCCATCCCATCTTGAAGTGGTACTTCACACCCTGCTGCACCTAGGCACCGTGTGTGCACACCAGCTGGAGCTTTCCCTTTGTTATGTGCAGGACATGGAGCTGACAGAAAGCTCCAGCTGGAGTCTGGGCAGAAATGTTTAGGCCACTGGTAGGTAAATACAAGGGGTGAACACAAGGACCTTTCTGCCCAGAGTGCCCAGGAGTGCCAAGCCACCACTGTGCCCTTGAGGCAAGTGGGCAGCATCACCCTGCTGGCACTCACAGTTTGATACAGAAAATGCTGTGGTTCAGTGTTTTCCCTGTGTCTGGCATTGCCTCCCACTTCACACCCTGTGCAGTTGCCCAGGTCCAGCCCTGGCGAACCCGACTCCGTTTTAACCACAGCATCTTCTTGAGAAGAAGAAGTCACCCAGGCAAATAAATTACCCCTTCCTCCCCTGGTGCCCACCCAGACTGCTGAGGCGTGGGGCACAGGTCAGTACCCGTCCTGGCAGTCGTTGTCGTCGTAGTCAGCAGCAGGTTTGCTGCGCAAGGCTCCCGGGCGGCGCCGGCGGCTCGCGCTGCCCAGGCTCTGCAGAGAGTTGTCGTCCCCGTGGCTGCTGGACTCCCTGGTGGCATCCTCCTGCGAGGGGCTGTCCTCACCACCATCCTCCTGGGACTCACTGTCGGCACTCTCTGTGGACCTGCTGTCCTCACCCGTGTTGTCCTCCGGGCTGCTGTCGTCCTCTGGGGACGCGCTTTGGCTCTCGGCTGATGTGCTCGGCTCGGAGTCAGAGTCATTCTCGTCCTCCCTCGACTCCTCTGTGGACTGGCTCTGGGCATCATCATCTTCCCTAGACTTGCTCTGCTCACCCTCTTCTTCCCCAGACTCGCTGTCAGGCGTGGACAGCACACTCCTGTCCTCAGCAGACTCCCGGTCCTCCTGCCCTTCCCAGTTCCAGCTGTGCTGGTTCAGTGTGTTCACCACCTCTGGGGACTCTCTTGGCTCTTCATCTGACTGGTCCTCGGTGCTCTCCCTGGACTTGCTGTCCTCATCCTCCCTGGAGGGGCTGTCCTCCCCATCCCCATCCTCCCTGGAGCGGCTGGAGCTTTCTTCCTCTGACTGGCTGTCCACAGGCTCTTCTGACTGACTGTTGTCCTCCACGGATGGGCTGTCTTCCCCAGAATCCTCCACCTCTGGGGACCTACTATCCCCCTCCTCCCAGTGGTGGGATCCAGCCTCCTGGACACCCTCTCTGCTGCTCCCCATGGCACGGGGGCCAGCATAGCGCACCTTGTAGCTGCTGCCCAGGCCATCAAAGACAGAGGGGTCATCACCCTGCATGGCTTCATCCTCAAAGTCATAGCTCTCCTCCTCCTGACTGCTGCTGCTGGCCCCTCCCTGCCTGTAGGTCGGCTCATAGCGGCTGCCAGGGTAGCTCCTGTACCTCCAGTGATCTGCCCCGACGCTCTCACTGCTGCTGCTGCTGCTGCTGTCACCGTGCCCTCCACCAGTCCCAGCATCTTCACGACCAGCATCGTGGCCGTGGTCACCTGCCCCATCAGCACCAGCCACGTACGTGGGACCTTCGCCCCGCTCCTCTTCCCCATTCTCATCAAAGGTGTCATCCCCACTGTCATCCTCCTCGTCCAGGAACCCACCAGCATGGGAGGGAAGCCCATGGACTCCAGGGCTGTAGTGCTCTCTGTTGTCACCATCATCACGTGCATCCTCCTCCTGTGGAGGTGACAAAGGGAGACGATTGCTATGGGCTCACGGGTGCTATCTCAGCACTGCTCACTGTGCAGGCCAAGTGCAACCTTGACCAATACCAGATTTAGGGCCAAGCAAGCTTTCCTGGCAGAGCAAAACACACCACTCACTCACCAGGAAACCAAGGTCGTTCCTATTGTGGGCACTCATGTCCTCGTGGTCCACCTGGTTCACATGCTGAGCCTGCCCAACTGGGTCTCCCTTGTCTCGGCCACTGTACTTGCCCAGCTCCTCATCCACGTCATTCCCACCCACCAGGTCCCTGGCAAGGGCATTGTCCCCCCTCTCTGCACTGGCAGGAGCATGTCTGCCTTCTCCACCATCTAGGACGTTGATGTAATCTTCATTTGCTGTGTCCTGGAGGCAAAACATGACATGGTGCTTTGGTTCATTCAACACCAACCACAGCAAGTTTACTGCTGCTGCAGGACATCACTCCTAAGCCATGCAAGTGCTCAAGCCTTTTGCATTGCTCACACCTCAGCCCTTCAGCATCTAAAGGGCAACCCAGAAAAGCCCAAACCATGACAGATCAGAGCACAGAAATTCCTTTTCCAGGGCCAACACAGCAGAATGCATCAGGTAAACTGCAAACATCATCAGGGAGGCAAGTAAAAATGAGGTGAAACCAACCCAGCTTGAAAAGACTGAGCAGATGGACAAAGCTCCAAGACCCACAGAAGCAGCAGCTTCCCTCCCAGGACCCTGGTCCAAGTCTGGATCCCCATCCTAGACTTGACAGCACTCCCTATAGGACTGGAGCACCCCAGCTTACCTTCTGCTGGGCACTGGGGTAGGTGGGCTCACGACCAGGTACCTAAACACATCCAGGAGACATCTGATCAGTGACTGATGCACCTTGGCTGGGCAAAACCAACAGGGTTTGGGGCTGGAGTATCAGTCCAGTGAGTACTTACAGGGTGAGCACAGGCCACGGCCCAGAGGAGCAGCAGCAGGAACACAGTCCTCATGTCAGTTGTGGTCTCTGCAGCTGCAACAAGGAATAAAGTATTTGCACATGACAGCAAAGCACTTGCATGTGCCTGTGGCTGTAATACGGCCCCACAAAGCCCTTCCAACTGATCCAGCCTTGCCATCCTGGCACGTGGTGCAACCATGGTGCATGTCATCAGACAAGCCAAGGATTTGTCCTTGTGCCACCTCCTGGCATATCCCGTGCAGAAACCTCCCTTCAGTCTGGAATTTGAAACACCTGCTCATGTCCTGGCAGATTTCTTTATCTGAGCATCATTAAAGAGCAGGAAAGCTCTCCTGAATTTCTTGTTCCCACAGCAATGTCACCCACCACCCAGCTGAGCTGGGCAGCACTGAGACCAGGGGCTGAACAGCTACACCTCCCACCTGGGGTGGTCCCCACAGCCCCAGAAAATCTCCCACCACCCCAGAGTGGAGCATCCCAGCAAGATAACCCCATGGAGAGCAGCATTATGCAGACAGACTAAGGGATTTGGGGCTGTTCAGCCTGGAGAAGAGAAGGTTGTGTGGAGACCTCAGAGCACCTTCCAGGAGCTGAAGGGGCTCCAGGGAAGCTACAGAGGGATCTGTGTTAGGAGCTGCAGGGACAGGACAAGGGGCAATGGGCACAAATTGAAGGAGGGAAATTTAGGTTAGATCTTAGACAGAAGTTTTCCCTGTGAGGGTGGTGAGACCCTGTGCCAGGTTGCCCAGGGAGGCTGTGGCTGCCCCAACCCTGGCAGTGTTCACAGCCAGGTTGGCTGAGCCTTGAGCAACCTGCTCTGGTGGGAGGTGTCCCTGCCCAGGGCAGGGGTTGGGGCTGGATCATCTCCAAGCTCCATTCCAACCCCTAAAGTTCTCTGATTCTCTGATAATTCTATGATTCCCTGTGCCCACTAGGTCAGCATCCCCAGCACTGCTGTCTGGCAGGCAGGTAAAGCCGTGGGAACTTTCCTCCAGCTCTGTTCCATTTCCAAGTCCCTCAAACAGCCAAGCACAGCATTCCCATGGGGCACTAACTACACTCTGCATCATCCAACACCCAAAATGAGCTGCAACAAAGAGGCATGCTCCTAATTTCTTCCTTTATGAAGGAACACCTTCATCCAAGCTTACAAGTCTCCTGCTTTATCCCCAAACTTGCAAGGAAATCTACAACCTCTGTTCCCAAAGTTGCCATTTTCATCCCAGGCAATGCCAAATCCACCCAAAGAAACCAAAGCCTTTACCTTAAGGTGCAGCACAAGTCTCCTGTGGAGCTGGGGCTGGGCTGGCTGCGTTGGGATGCCCCAGGCTGTGTGCCCTGCTGTGGCCATGCAGGTATTTAAGTGCTGGACAGTGCCAGCCCTGGGCAGGGGCAGCCAATGGCACTGACGGGCAGCGCTGCCGTGTGTGGAGGTGTCACCGGGAACCGGCCTCCCACGCTTCCTCTGGCCTCCAGCAGGACATCAGCCCTAAAAAAAGCTGCTTGTGGTCACAGGATGACGAGATGGGCTGGCAGTTAATGACTGACTGCACTGGCCCTGTGTTTTGATTGCTAAATTTGTTCCATTCACACACTTCCCGCCGTGACACACACAAACAACTACAGCATCACTCACGCCAAGCACCAGACCCTGTCCCATTGGCCTCCTCCTAACCCATGCACTTGGGAGTGGGGTTTGCCCTGGACCAGAGTGCTGAAACACACATTCCCCTGCCAGGACTGAACCTTCTTCGAGGACTAGAGCATCTCCCCTATGAGGACAGGCTGAGGGAGTTGGGGCTGTTGAGCCTGGAGAAGAGAAGGTTGTGTGGAGACCTCAGAGCACCTTGCAGGAGCTGAAGGGGCTCCAGGGAAGCTGCAGAGGGATCTGTGTTAGGAGCTGCAGGGACAGGACAAGGGGCAATGGGCACAAATTGAAGGAGGGAAAGTTAGGTTAGATCTTAGTCAGAAGTTTTCCCTGTGAGGGTGGTGAGACACTGTCCCAGGTTGCCCAGGGAGGCTGTGGCTGCCCCAAGCCTGGCAGTGTTCACAGCCAGGTTGGCTGAGCCTTGAGCAACCTGCTCTGGTGGGAGATGTCCCTGCCCAGGGCAGGGCTTGGGGCTGGATCATCTCTAAGCTCCATTCCAACCCCTAAAATTCCATGATTCTATGACTGTCCTGCGTCCTGGGGCATGAGCACAAACCCATGCTAGAAGGAGAGGACTTGTCTATTTTTTACACCCTTGTGCAAGGAAGAATGGAAATACTAAATGCACAGAAGCACCCTACCCCCTGCAGTAAGGGAGTGTAGCATCCTAGTGCTCCTTCCAGCTGCTGGACAGGGAGGGAAACATGTGCTCCAGAAAACACAGGCAGCAACGTGCACATGTGCATGGGTATGTTTATGTAAGTGTATATATGAACACATATACAGGCACTATCTATACCCCAACATTTCTTGGTGGTAGCATAGATCACCTACTCCAAACAGCACTGTGAGGCAGCAGCAGCACAGATGGAGCCTCCTCACCCACAGGTACCATGAGAGGGAGTTTGCAAATTCCCACAGGTGACAGAGTGGCCACAGCTCTCTGCCTGTTCTGTGTAGGACAGGGCCAGCACAGCCCCAGCCAAACACACATCTTCCCTCTGGCCCGGTGTGGGCAGATGAAGGTGACTTCCTTGCCTGCATTTGGCCATTGCTAAGTCCTGTGTGCCCACAACAGCTGCCTCTGCTAATAGCAACATGCCACAAGTGCTGGCAGGTTGCGTTGGAGCAGATGTGTCTGCTCTGCCATCTGAGCTCTCCTCACATTGCCCTGCCATGGCATCTTTGCAGGCTCCCAGACTCCCAGAGGTGGGAGCATAGCCCAGGGGACACAGCCAGGTCTCCAGGTTTGCAGGGATTCATAGGAGATGTTGGCACTGCAAGAGAAGTGACTGAAGGAAACTTGAGCCAGGGCTCTGTCAGCTGCAGGTTATCTGAATTTGCCTGGGACATACCTAGCTAAGAGCATGCAGAAAGCATTCCTCGTGCTCTGACACCACCACAGCTGGACAGAGTATTTTGTGGCACCAGACACGTCACTCTGCTGTTGTGGTTCCCTTCTTAATGTCATCCTCCAAAACCTCCTGCCTTTTCCACCATCGTCCCCAGCCAGGAGACTGTGTGTGTCTGCCCTGTGAGGTGTGAAAAGCACCTCTTTTCTCCTCCCTCTTGCTCCCCATGCAGGGAGGCTCCAGTGCCACCTCAGTCCCACTAGTTTCCCCACAGCCCCTTGGAGATGGTCCTCATCAAGCTCTTCCCTCTCACTCACACACAAACCTCTGGCAGATGTTTTCCTCTCCATTCCTACCTGACCCTGCTGCAGATAATGTGGGATGTATTTTCCTTTGAACCTGCAACAAAATTATACCCCTGTCCCCAGGCAGATAGGAGTTCATGTTGCCAACATTTTTAGACACCTCCAACAATTACCATGTTTTCTGGTATTGTTTTTGTGACATCAAACCTGCATTTAACTCAGCCCCCAAAGACCTGCTGCTGCTGCCTCATGCCCAGGTGCTGTGGTGCAAAAAAGGAGATAACCACCAAGCTGTGCATACCCATCTTTTTTAACAGAGGTCACCTCCCTCCCCTCCAGTGGCCTCGAAACACCCACAGCACCAGCACACACAGCACTGCTCACTGCCAGCACCCTGATCTGACTCCAGCTCCCCATGATCCTACAGCCCTGGGCCAAAAAACCAAGGTCTGTCCCCCAAATCCCTTCCAGAGACTATCCCACACCATCAGCTACACTGCCCAAGTAGATCTGCCTGTGTTTTGCAAGGAAAGGAAACTCCAGCCCACAAACCTTCCAATTAACCTTTAAAAAAACCCCAACCCAATAATATTAAGGATTATTTTGGAACATCAGAGGTGAGAAATGGCCTGAGGGTGGGGGAAGCAGCTCTCCAATGGGTGTTTCAAATGCTACAGGGCATTTCCCCAAGCCCTACTCTCCTAAGAGGTTCTGTCCCTGAGGATTACCAGGATGGGAAGCAGAGGGGCATGGAAGGTGGGGAAACCTGGCTATAGTTAGCACCCTCAGGCTACCAGGGAGGAGCTGGCCAAAGCAGAGACAAGAGGACTGGCAGGGCTGGGGAAGAGGTGAAGGAATATCACTTTTCTGTTTGACAGGTTGGACTGTGTGGTGCTCACGAGGACAGAGAAGAGAAATGAGTGCAGACAGCAGGAGGGATTACAGATGCCAATGCCAAGAGAGAAGTTGGCACTGCAGAGTGATGGTGGAGGCACATAAGAGCTGCTTTCCATCACTGATCAAGACAGCATTAAAACCCAAGAAATTAATAGTGTTCAAAAAAACCCCACCATTCCCGCTTTTTTTTTATCAGTCCAGGGTATTTTCATGGTATTAATATTACTGGTGCACTTCTCCCCTGAACAGACCTATGGGTTTTGACAGCAGCATCAACAGAATCAGAGAATCCTAGAATTTCAGGGGTTGGAATGGAGCTTAGAGATCACCCAGGCCCAACCCCTGCTCTGGGCAGGGACATCTCCCACCAGAGCAGGTTGCTCAAGGCTCATCCAACCTGACTGTGAACACTGCCAGGGTTGGGGCAGTCACAGCCTCTAGTGCTTTTAAGTTCTAGATTTATAAGATCTTCTTCTTATTCCCCCAGTTTACCCAATTCAGACAGCAGTTATAGGGCTGGATCAGCCTCGGGTGATGAATTTCTGGGAGAAGGCAGCAACAGTCACAGATCTCTGCAAGGTGATGCTGCTGCTCAGTGGTCTGTGTGCTCCTCTGCTGTGCCTCCTTTGGAGCACAGGAGACAGGCACCCATGGCCACACATCCTTCTTCCCACCTCCTCAGCCCATGGCAAAACCATCATTTGATTGCTTTCCCTGCAGCTATTTTGGGATTTTCAGCACTGAAATTAGTATAACTCATGCAGACAGGAAGCTGCTGCAGCACCGGAGAAAGGTACTTGGAAATGAACACCAGTCTGTGATTAAGAGA